ATGTAAATAGCTATTATACTATGTTGTTTAGGAAGAGCGACAAGGAAAAAGTCTGTACATGTTCAGTAAGGTTCAAATTTTTCCCTAATATTTGTGATAGTGATAATAGTTCATTTAATTGGCAGATGTGGAAGCTGCAAATAAGGAGCACCAACTGTAAGTATTCAAGACTATTTCTTTGGTTATCTTCTATTCAAAAATTTTACAGCCCTTGAGGTGGAGTACTTTGAACACTTGAGAGATTATTCTTCAAAAATAGGCTAATTTCAAAAGATGAGAAGTAGAAATGCTGCTGGAAAGGGCTCGGTAGCAAAGAAGAAAAAAAACAACCTTGGCCTATATTAAATAGTCTTTATTAAAATGCTACCAGATTCATTCCCTTTGTTCATAAACTGTGTGTAATTATAGTATACAAAACCTCCAGATCTTCCTGCTATTAAGAATTTAAAAATATCTGTTCTAGATTTTCAAAATAAGTTTCCCATGTACAGTAATTATATCACATAAAATGTGCTATACTTAAAATTATGTTTATTATAGCAACTTAAATTTAGACTGCCTCTCTTAGAGTTGATTTAATCCTCTCTATAATGTTGCCTTGTTCACTTCCTATCAAGAAAGAATTTCAGGGCTACTACGAAGATAACCTGACTTTGCAAAAACATTCTGGAAGAGAAATAAGAAAAAATGGTGTCAGAATGGTGGGACACCATTCCCCTATTTGTCCAACCTTTGCTGTTGAAATAAATCTCTAGGCTCTGCAGAAAGTAGCAGGATGCTGCCAAGGATGGACAGTTACACAGTCTGATGCCATGGTGAGACAAAATACGGATGGACACTCGGAAGATTACTATTGTCCTTTTTATTTTGTGACACAGTCTTGCTAACCTATTAAGTTGCCCAGCGTGGACTTGAACTTTCATCTCCCTGCCTTAGCCTCCCAGAGTTCTGGAATTATAAGTGTGTGCAACCAAACGCCTGGCCATTTTTCTTATGTGTGTGACTAGTTGTACTCTAGCATACAATTTTTTGACATTGTTATCGACTAGAGTTTGGAATTTTAAATAATTTGCTTTTAAGAATGAGACTATATTTTAACATAGCAGCTTGTTTTGAAATCAGGATACTTGCCTAATTAATGCTAAGGCTCCTTTCAGGACTAAGATTCTACAGTTAGGAAACAATAAATCATTGAGTTTATCATTTGAGAAGAACCATTGACCAATAACTCACAGTCATTCTTGGAACATCCTTTTCTGGCATATAATGGGCAAATTTTCTGTCTTTCTTTTTTTTTTTTTTTGGTGAGATCTGTCTCCCAATCTTAAAGTACAGAACCTGGCAGCTTCCTGATCCATTTAAACCTGGAGGTGGCCTTTGTCATCATTATGGTCAGATTTTCTAAACTCAATTAAATTCTGATCAAAACAGTTCTGTGAAATCTACTGATAGCATTTACTTTGATCCTGACTCCTCTTTTGTTAGATTTCTGTCTGAGAAAGTCGCTGCAAGCTTCCTTGTCTTTGGAATGGTGCTAAATAACAACTGCATGAGACTTCCAAGACCCCTCCCCCAGAAAGATTTGAGAAGGACTAAATGGAGCAGTGTTTGTAAAGCACTTAGCAGAGCCCTTGGCATATTGTAAATATTCTAAAATATTGTCTAGCATTTTGATTATCACTGGTACTCCCACACAATTAGGACACCATGTTACTCTGATGTGGTAAAGTCTACTTTCTTAGCCTAGCACTGAAGACTTTGCATCTGTGGTTGCTTACCAGTAAAATGGAGAAAATAACCCTCTCCCAAGTAGTGACAGGAGCACTGATCATGGAAACGAGGACCATGGGCTCTACCCACGTTTCTCAGGTGCCTCCATTACTTCCTCCTTTGAACTATGGCCATTTGTTTGATTTGTTCATTCACAGGAGTGGTGTAGGAATAGTAGACAGCTATTGAGAAAAAATAATTTGACCCATTTTTTATACCAAAATAAACTCTAAGATAGACCAAAGTTTTAAATGTAAAAAAATGAAATGAGATCAAGAACAACAAATGGATGAGAGAAAAGATAAGTAGATTTGTTTATGAATTTGAAATAAAGGGGGGCTTTTCTGAGTCGGGAATTATAAATAACCAGAGCTAATGGTGAGAACTCTGATAATTATACCTAATTAAAAATGTTCTTTGCGCTGTAATTGTGGTTCTATGGCAGAGAGCTTGTCCAGCATGCTTGAGGTCCTGAGTTTGATCCCCAGCCAACACTTTAATGTTCTCACAGCAAAATAATAATAAAATAATAAATGCTATAAATTAAATTTTAGCAAACCAATAACAGTTATTTTAATAAAATAGATTTTATATTATATTCTAATTTGTTCTGTTATTATTTCATTATATTATAATAGTACATTATTATTATTTGCAGTACTGGGGATTAAGCCCAGGGTCTTCACACTAAAATATATCACCACCCTCTTTCATTTATTTATTTATGTTTTATTTTGAGATACAGTCTTGCTACATTGCCCAGGCTGGTCCTGAACTTGTGATTCTCCTGCCTCAGTCTCACAGAGTTCTGGGATTTTAGGTGTGCTCCACTACACCCAGATAGGGTTAACTTTCTAAATTTACAAAGGGTTACATATCAATTAAAAAGAGCTGAAAATCTCAAGTAAAAAAATAGGTAGAGGCTGGATGTGGTGGTGCATGCTTATAATCCCAGCACTTGGGAGGCTGAGTCAGGAGGATCCTCTTGAGTTTGAGGCCAGCCTGGGCTATACAGTGAGTTTAAGGCTGGCCTGAACTACATGGTGAGACCTTGTTTCAAGAAAAAAAAAAAAAAAGGTGAAATAATTGGCTACCCAGCAAATATACATAGATAATGCATCTGAAATAATCAATTTTACTAATTAAAAAGCTATAAATTGGAGCAAGAAGATACCATTTTTAACCGATCGAGAAAAATTGAAAAGAATATCCAATGTTATAATGGCAAAAAGATATAGGCCTTCTGATGTACTGTTATGGTGGTACAAATACCGGTGCTACTTTTGTTGAGAATAACTTAGCATTGTTTACCAAAATAAAATATGCACATTCTTTTGATTTACCACCTCCAGTGCTATAAATTCAATTTACAAATGCATTAGAGACCTGTATACATGACTGGGTTTTAGCTCAGTGGCAGAGAGCACGCTTTGCATATACAAAGGCCCTATGTGTTAAGAGAAGGAAAAAAAACACGGAAGAAAAATATGTCATTATGCGTACATTTCAAATGTGGATTGAGAGGGTAGAGTGTGTAGTAACAGACATGTAAACATAAGTATTTTTTTTTTAAAAAAGGAGAAACATGTAAGACACTGAAAAGTTACTTTGGGGAGAATAGGGTAGAGAAGAAGGGGACAGATAGAACAGAGTAATGTTATGTTCTCCTAAAATCCTGTAGGGTTATAATCATGTCCTTTGATATCTTTTTTCTCTTTTCTTCCCTCCCTCCTCCCTTCCTCTCTCCTCTTTCCCTCCTGTTTCTCCCCTCATTCTTTCTTTAGTGCTCTCTCTACTACTGAATCACACTCCCAAACCCTTTTTTTCTCTTAATTATTCATGAAGCAAAGTTGATCTTTGAAATCCATGATGTGATATGAAATCCCGAACAGAATAGCCTTCCTGTACTTCTTGTTTTGCCTAATATGAATACCAGAAGGTTTACACTGATTTTCCTGGGTGTCAAAAGCTTGGGAATGAAGATCTGTTTCATGGAGTATTTTCTGTTTGTCTCATTTAGATTCTAAGGAATGTCTGTCCCAGTGTGAGAACGCTTACTAACTGGGATATTACTTTCCTCTCAAGGAACAGTAACCCACATCAGTTAGAGCCCATGTAGCTCTGTCTGACGTGGATATTCTTAGTCCTATTCTTGCTTGCTGGACTCAAGGGCAGAACCAATGACACTTGTAAAATGGAAGAATGGATGATGGAGAAATGGAAGGATGGAAAAAGGGTTAGCAAACAGGAGAGGATGCTCCTGGCCAGATGGGCTGATTCCTCCTCCCTGGTCCTAGAGGCAGCACTGTTTTATGTATTAACAGTCCATTGGGTAGAGCTTGGAATCACCTTATGGAAGGTTCGTCTCTGCCCCCTGCTGTCTAGCCCTTCTTGTGCTCTCTTGGAACCTGCCTCTAAACATTCTTGGCTGTCTCTCAGAGCCTCCCTGTGCACACCCCAACACCGACTTTCTTTATTCATACACATTTATCTAATTCTCTATCTCTAGTAATAAGCACAGGCTTGGACCTGAATTACTGTTCTTTTGTTCCCTTTTGATTAATTTTTGGCTTGTACAACTCAGAACTTGCGACACTGTTAACATCTTTGCACAAATATATTGAGTGCCTGGGCGCTAGGCACCAGGGTAGGATTTGGGCCTAGTAATCCTAACTTTGAATATTATATCTACATTTTACATATAACACACCACTCTGCATAGCTGGCCTTCATTCCCAGCTTGTCAGCTAAAGAAAACATGGAGGCATAAAGTTATTTCAAATGGCTTGTTTGAGCACTGGATATAAGTATTAACTGGATTGATTAATAAAGGCACAATTTGCTATTATGCTGAAGTTAAATATGGAGTTCAAATCAAGAGAGGTAGAACACTTTGTGATATCTTAACTCCACCATACAAATGATGTAAATGTCTCAAATAACATTTATCTTACTACAGATACTTTAAGCAACAGCACTCCTTATTTTTTACATGAAAAATGAAAACACTATCTTATAGGGAGGCCACTACCACTTACACAGTCATCTTTGTAAGTATATGAAATATTTTTTCTAATGTGGCCGTGAATTTTTAGTTGCTAAAATTTGAACATATTCAAGTTTATAAACAATGGAAAAGGTCTAACGTCTTACTCTGGCCAAATATGCAACCTGTGACTGTTAGAAGGAGATCACACTGGGGCTTAATAGAGCTTCGTGCCATCACTTACATCATGTAGGTAAGGAAAGTGCTGAGGGGCTCCAGGGAATGATTCCGGAAATAGTCAAATTCTCTGCATAGCTTCTTCCTCATCTCTGTGTCAATTTTGGAAACAGTAAGCGGATTTGTCTCATTAGCCAAGAAGTTGCCATAATCAGTGGTCTGGAGATGAATTTTCAGATCTGAAATTAAGTGAAACACCAAGTCAAGTTAAATTTTGAGCATTTATGAGTAGCCTTTTCAACATTAATTGAATTTGTGATAACTTTAAAGTAAATACATACTTATTATCTTATCAGACTTCAACATACAGTTTGGATATTACTTAAACTTCAGGGTTTATCTCTAAGGCAGTGAAAAAGTCAATGTAAATATTATTTTAGCATAGCATAAAAATTTCCAGCTATCTAAGAAACCTGGCCTTTTTTCACAGAGCTAAAAAAAAATAATAAATACTTAATTCAGAGATGGTTTGAGATAGGAATGATTTTTATCCCCCTTTTCAAATGAGAACACTGAAGCTCCAAGAGAGGAAAAACTTTCTCAAGATCACGCAGGTAAACTCAAGAGTCAAAAGCCAGTTAGATCTGATTTCAAAGTCACTTAAAACCTATACTTTATTGTCAACCATTACGATCAGATTATCACTTTCTCTGTAAAGCCTTAATTCTCTTGGGCAGAATTATTCAAGCTCATTCATTTGAGTTCTAAAGCACTTGGATAATAGCTTTAGCATAATGTGTGTTATAAGATATATAGTTTTAAATATATTAACCTAAAAAGGGAGCTACGCTGTCATAGTTATGCCTTCTATCTATGACTTCTTGCAAAGTCCCTAATGTGTAGGTGTTACATGAATATCTAAAGTGATCTGTGAATATGTAAAACATCTTTGTCTGCATCGAGTACATACACTGGGGCCAATATAGCAACCTGGGCCTTACCGGCTCTTACATTCAAACATCTACTGAGCAATTAGTGTGTGCTATTAACTGCAGGAAATCTAGCAATGAACTAGCCATCTAGTCCTCAACTTGAAAGAAACATCCAATCTGGCAGGAGAGGATATCACAAACATTTCATTCAAAAAATGTACTAAATTCACTCGTACATGGTGGTGCATATCTGTAATCCCAGCACTGAAAGGCTGAGATAGGTTACAAGTTGGAACCCAGCCTGGGCAGCTGACTTAGTGAGATCTACTCCCACTTCAAAAAAAAAAAAATCAAACTTAAAAGGGGCTGAGAATGTAGCTTAGTGCAGAGGCCCTGAGTTCAATCCTCAATAATACAAACACACACACACACACGCACACACATACACACACAAACACACACACCATACAAAGCAACAAGCAATGTGCTGAATTCAGCGATAGGAACCTCGATTTATAGGAACAGAAAAAATAAGACTCAGATCCACAGGGATGGGAGAAAAAGGCCTAGGAAAGTTTCCTGAAGAAAGCCAGGCTGTAGATGGGTTTTAAAGTGCTATGTAAAAGTGAGAGGAAGGTGTTCCATGAGATAGGATGGAAACTGTGTTCAAGGAACTCCAAACAGGTCCGTGATGGAATATTATGTGGTAGATATAGAAATTAAAAGTGGAACTCCCATATGATCCAGCAATCCCACTACTGCTGAGTACCTGTCCACAGGGAATGAAGGCAGCATGTTCGGCAGGTGTCTGCAGTCTCACGCTCAGTGCAGCACTATTCACAAGTCTGGCTGTGGAAGCGAGCTCAGTGTCCGCCAGTGGACGAATGGATAAGGAAATGTGGGACACATTCATAGTAGAATACTATTCAGCCATGAAAGCAATGAAAACCTGTCATTGGTGACAATAGAGATAAATCTAGAGAATATGGTGGTAAGTGAAATAGTCCAGGCACTGAAAGCAAGTTCCGCATAACCTCACTGAGATGGAAAATCTAAGAAACTTTGAGTTTATGGATGTGGAGAGTAGAATGGTGGTTACCAGAGGCTGGGAAGCATGTGGATGGGGAGATGGTGGTCGAAGGATACAAAATTTCAGGTAGGTAGGAAGAATATAACTTGCCTGGAATGTGCAGGCTCTGAGTTCAACCCCCAGAACTGCAAACAAAACAGAACTAAAAAACATCATATTGAAGTTACAGTTAGAAGAAGTTTTGCTATGCTGTTGCATAGTAGAATGGCTATAGATTACAATAATGCTCCTACATTTAAAAGCTAGAAGAAAGGGCCTTGAAAGTTTTCATCATAAAGAAATGATATTTGAAGAAACAGGTATGTTTAACTTGATTAAAATGTTACATAATATATACTTGCATTGAAATATCGTACAATACCTCATTAATAGGTACAATTTTATGTTTTCATGAAAAATTACCAAGAGTGCCAGGGATTTAGCTCAGTGGTTCCGGCGCCTGCCTCGCAAGCACAAGGACCTGAGTTTGATCCCCGGTACCCCCCACCCCAAAAAAAAAGAAAAGAAAAAAAAAAGATTACCAAAAAATTTAAAATCATGTTTTACATGATAAATATATACAAAGTTTTAAAAAGATGTTAGAACAGGAGAAGAGAGAATTGAGCCAAAAATAAAAAAGCAGGTGTTCTTCCCAGGATGGCATGAGGTCTTTGACCAGAGAAAATTGGGGAAGTGTGGATGTGCAGTTAGGCATGATGTGGTCAGTGAGCAGCTGAGGTATTAGGCCCAGGCATTTTTCCTCAGTGTTTGAAGGAGATTTTGCATGCAAAATGCACTTTATTTGACTGCAGAATTGATGTTAGAACAGGAGAAGAGAGAATTGAGCCAAAAATAAAAAAGCAGGTGTTCTTCCCAGGATGGCATGAGGTCTTTGACCAGAGAAAATTGGGGAAGTGTGGATGTGCAGTTAGGCATGATGTGGTCAGTGAGCAGCTGAGGTATTAGGCCCAGGCATTTTTCCTCAGTGTTTGAAGGAGATTTTGCATGCAAAATACACTTTATTTGACTGCAGAATTCATTTGCTCAATTACCTATTTAATTAACTAAATTTAAAACAATTTCTTTTTTTTTTTTTGCTATGGCTTGTTTGGCTTTTATTTTGGCAGTGCAGATTTTTGTGTGATTTGACAGTTTGCATCCTTAGCACCAAGGAATATTTGCCAACAGAACTGACACAAATGGTATTTCTTTCAAAACCATGATATTTTGCTCTGTGACATATGTTTCTTTTAAGCTAAATAACGTTCAGACCTTTCAGCTGCTAGTGAGATCCTGAAATTAAATGTCTCAAATTTGTCAGACCCTGTAGGAATCTTGGAATATAGTGCTGGAGTCAGTGGAAGAGAAGGTACCTCCCTTCTGCAGCAGCAAAATGATCGAAGGGACAGTCTTATGCAGATTTTAAGAAAATCTTAGGCCCTGAAATGTTTTCTCTGAGATGACGACAGACTGCCAGCAACACTGTTCACAGTTTTATGGGTTTTAAAATGAGTTGACTTCATTTTCCCCCCTGCACTTCTCTAAATACGCATCTAAGTAGGTGTATCAGTAGGACTTTGTGGTCAAATAAGTTTGGAATAAACAGGTTTCTTTATGGTAGGAATTGGAAACATTTCATACATTAATTTCAGCATTTTCTTTGAAAAGAGTATGGTACAGAACATTTCAAACCACTGAAGAACAATGGGCCCCCTCGCAGAGCACAATTGGGAAAATTACACTACGCTTTTACCCAGAGAGATGGTGTGGCAAATGGTGTTGTTGTTGTTGTTGGTTTAATTTTAATGAGGAAATAGAACATTTTCCAAACTGTGGAACTGCTTCCAAGTAAATCAGTTTACTAGGTCCTAATCACAAATAGAATAAAAGGAACCATTAGGCTGTTCTAACAAATATCAAAGTATATCACAGAGTAGCATAACTAAATATGTGCCCGCATGTTCATGCATGATCAGAATATTTAAAAAGTATCTTCTTAGGGTGGCAGCCACTGAACTAAGGGGATTATTTGAGATCACTGGGCTAGTGAATGACTCAGGATGGGGAGCAGAGACTTTGTGGTTGTCTTCTAATAATGTTTTTGCCAACATTAATATGTTGGCAAATCATTTTTAGAAAAGTCCTAGTTTTTCCATGCTGCTCCCTATTTGGATCTCTCTCTCTCTCTACAAGAAGCAGCTTTAGATGTAACTGTCCAGGGTGCTGTCCCCAAAGGAAGTGGGAGTGCTTTTCCTCCCCTCCGCCAGTGCTGAACGGTTTCCTTATCCACAAAATGGACACAGAGGACTGCGAGTATAGCATTTGCCCATCATGCTCAAGGCTCTGGGCTTGATCCCCAGCAGCCTTCCCTTCACCCCAAAATATATAGAGTCTATGTTTTCAGGTTAGAGCAGGGGTGGAATGGAGTGATGGTTCTGCGGACAGTCCACTTAAGTAAAGAGCCAGATATGGAAGCTACTACAAAATATTCATTTTAGCTTCTCATGTGTACTAATCCAATTCCAAAAAAAAAAAAAATTGATTCACTTGTAAGATCTTTGACTCTTTTTTTTTTAGATCTTTGACTTTTATTCTCTAAGCTTGAAAGTTTTCAAGCAAAATGTTTGATTCTTCCATCAGACCTAAAAATTACTCAGATTTTTTTTTGGGGGGGGCACTAGGAATTGAACTCAGGGCCTTGCATTTGCCAGGCAGGCACTGTGCTGCTGAGCTACATTCTCAGTCCAATTACTCAGACTTCTAATAAATATATCAGTATCTATACAAGTAGACACTTGCCCTCCTTTCTTGTTACATTAGTACTATCCGTACAGTATTGAAACTTCAGTCTTTGGTGTTTTATTATGCAGAATTCCTGTATCTTCTCTGATAGCTACTCCTTACTTTTCTGATACTTATAGAATGACCCCCTGACAGCTAGATTACTGCATCCATCTCTTACATGATTTTCCCAGGCTTGTTTTTCCTCTTGCACTTCCAGCTGCAAGTTCAACCTTTTCTAAGAATTGTTTTGATTTTGTAACGATCTTACAAAGAGCCTGAAGCCGTTAAGAGTGGTAGGTTAATTAAAAACAGCTTCTACAGGATTCGTACCATGTTTACCATTGACACAATGGTTTTAGGGTTCATTGCCTTTTAACTTTCTTCATTTCATAGATGAAGGAACAGAGGCTCAGAGAAATAACTAGTTCAAGTTTTCCATGCCTGCAAGTGCTTG